ACTGAACTTATACACAGGTACTCTGTGCACTGAACAAAGATGGTTACGTCACCGGCACAATTACGCGTTAAAATAAATTACCAAAATTAACTCTCATGTTGACATATCGAAAATAATGCTATCAACTATATAGATTTTGAATTTTCATCCAAAAAGTAGCATATTTCGAAAGACGTTAGGCGTACAGGGCGTACATTACACGCTCATGCAGGCGTCAATCAATTCCGTCAATCATGATTGATATAAAACGGATGGTGACTGACAGGCGTACATTACGCGCTCATGCAGGCGTCAATCACTGCCTTACACGGAAGGTTATTCGTCAATCACAACTGTAAATCCCTGATGGCAAAGTTGACTGTAATTTTAGGCACATTTATACGTAATAGTCTGTGTTGTGATTTTGTATAAGGTCGAATAATATAAAATTGCTTTAAACGTGACGTTGCAATGGACTAAAAAGAAGGCGTAAATTAAACACTCAATTACTGTTGAAGCTTGGAAACCGTCTGGTGAAACGAAATTAACAATCAAGTTGCAATTTTCCATAGCCCAAGGCACTTTGATTAACTAAACGTTAAGCGAGTGTTTTAATTTTAAATATTATAACAATATCAGAGACGATAACAGGTATTAAATTTTCATTTTCCGCTTTTCTATATCATTTCTAAATACTTTTTAAATTAATTTTTTCTGCCCAGCCGAGTTAGATCCATCGATTGATCTTTCAGTCGATGTTGGACTTACCCAGTCCGACGATTTGTCGATAGTAAGCATACTCGTCAACGACTTCGAGCGTAGTGCTCCCATCAACTACCGGCATTGTTTGTCTTGTTGCCCATGTTTATTTTAAGACCTATCCGTTGGGAGACACTATTGAGGTCATTAAGAATAGTTTTGAGGTGCTCCAGCGACTCTGCATTAGGTTTATATGATCGGCAAATCGAAGGTCAGCGGTCAGTGATGTGATCGCTATCGACGTTGCTCCCATATAATTTCCTGTCTAGTAGTTTGAAGACGATTTCCAATGCAGCGGTTGAAGTTTCGGGGAGATATTTTTGGTATTGTCCTGTACTCGAATAGCCATCGTAGCGATATTGTACAAACGTTTCAGCACTTTGTTATAGGGACAACCACCTTGGCACCGCTAAAGGGACTGTAGTAATACCGCACCGCTCACATTTCGATGGAATGAAAGGCTTTCTCATAGTCGACAAACGCAAGACAACGTGGCAGATGGTACTCCTAGAGTCTTTTGAGAAACCGGCTTGTTCGATAGGCTGGAAGTTGTCTAGTCTGTGTGTTAGACGATTAGTAATGACACTCAAAAACACAGAAGGGAAATCGGTCTATAGTTCTTTAATAGGGCGTTGTCGTCTTTCTTTAAGAACAAGACCACTGGACTTTTGATCCACGCCTCCGAGTAGTGCCACCATGCAGGCGGGATTGAAGAACATCTGAAGGTCTGGTTTCCCATCTGCTTTCAGAAACTCCACTGTTATTCCATCTTCAACCGGAGCCTTGTCATTTTAGCGAGTTGTAAACCTACTTTAAAGCAATAACGTTAACAGCTTTTAGTAAAAAAGACGTAAAAACTTATAGCCGTGCTTAGCGGGCAACGGAATAACCGACGAACTTTAATACCCGTCTGAAATTACCGAATTAACTTCCTTATCTAAAGCTAATGAAATTGTTTTTACTTCGTTATATGTCGGGGGACTAAACATTCGAGTTAAAAAACATAATTGCAAATGTTAATTAAACGACATAAAAAGAAATTGTCGATTGGAACGAAAAAAATCGGATTTTATGCTTATTTGAAAATTTTACCTACTTTTAACTGTGATGATACTTATTTAGTATTCATTTCTTATTTTTTGAAATTATCTAAGTCAATAAAAATAATTTTTTGAGTTTCATGTAAGTATCAGAGTTGACGACTCGGCGCGCGAACCACGCATAAACTCAAGCCGCCCGATGAGAACCGTGAGAAATCAGCAGTGAACGTTTCTATGAGCGAAGTTAGTTCAATCATTTTGGCTAAAGAATTGGCACAATTAATAGATTAATTTTATATGTCGGCATATGTACGTTATAGTGCAAAGTTACATTTTATCCATTCACCCTCCCCCTACCGGGTGAGCGTCTTAAAGAAAACAGTACACGATACATGAAATGTATTTTACATTTACGAAATAATCCGTGATAAATTTGCTATCAACCTCTTATATATAAAAGCGAGAAAAACGAAGGGAGAGTGGATATAACTTTAACTTCACTGTATAACGTACACATATTATGCCAATAGATAAAAGTTATCCATTAATTTTGCCCATTTTTTAAGTCTAAAATGCTCGAAATAGGAAATGCGCGCCTGAGCCGCGATACTTTTTAGGAGGAAAAATCTGTAAGCTTACTTCAGACCTTGCTTGTTAACTTGTTCTGCTGTCCATGCTGCTCTGTTAGTATGGAGCGTGTGTGTGTGTGTGTGTGTGTGTGTGTGTGTGTGTGTGTGTGTGTGTGTGTGTGTGCGTGCGTGTGTGTGTGTGTGTGTGTGTGTGTGTGTGTGTGTGTGTGTGCGTGCGTGCGTGTGCGTGTCTTGTCCTTTATTCGTTGTTAGTAAACACACAGTAGTGTGCCGCGCGGGTATGTCTGGCCGCCATGTTGGCAACGCTGCTCGGTGCTCGCTCTTGCTTGGAGCGTGCTGCTTTGTGTTTCTCGTGCATGTGTGTACAAAATGGTATTACGTATTTAACTCTTATTGAGTTAGTAATATTTTTGGTTGAAATTTCGAATAATTTGGCAGGACTTTAGGTGAGTAAAGTGTTTTATTTGGTAGAGGTTTGGTCCCCGATTATAATAGTACCACTCATATTAAAAGGTAATTCACCGTTCTTGAGAAAAATCAAAAATAAAATCCCATAGAACTAACCTCAAAATGATAACTCAAAATGAATTTAGGATGTGGGAGGTGGTGGAGAGGGAGGCGGGGGAGTTATAGACTCGCCCCCACTTATACCTCCTCCCGGACCTGTTTGTATTTTTTTTAATTTTGAAAACTCTCATTTTGAGGTTATATTTTCGTAATTTTTTTTGACTATAAACCTGATTTATGGGGGGAGAGAGTTGGAGGAGGAAAGCACCACGTAGCGCAGTCGAGGGAAGCCCGGTCGACGGAGCCCTGTTTGGCGGGGCTTCTACTTCTGAGTGGTTTATAAAAAAATAAACACGAAGGTGATGGCGGGACTTACTCTTATTGAATTAGTTTTTTTTTTAAATGTTAGGTGTTGGTATAAAACAGTGCTTGTGATTCGGAAGTAGGTTCAGGGCTGCAAAACATTTGAAGAAAGTTTTTTAACAATCTGTTGCTCTTGATCTGAGTCCGAACAATAGATCTCTAAGCAACCGAGAGGCATCTGCAGTTCGGGAATTCTTATGATATATATGAAAATTGATGAAACAGAAAAATAAACTTTTTTATCCAATATAGATTACAAATAATACTTATTGAAAGTCACTTTTTTAATTTACCACTGGTTCGGAAAAAAAAACCTCTGTCCTGGAAAGAACCACCTAGAAACCCAGCAGGACTTTAAAAAAAAAACAGCTTACAATCATGTATGTTACATTTAATAACACAACAAATTAGAAATAGCTTGGTAGTGATCAACCTTCCCAGGGGTTGTTATCATCAATGAATTCCTTAATATTATAATAACCCTTTTTATAAAAACTTAGTTTCGACCGAGCAAAAATTGTGTTGAAACTTGACTACAATTATGTTGAAGTTTGACGATCTGGAATTAGCTTGTGTGTGTGTTGCATTTACCGTATTCGCTGGTATACTCCTCGAAAATTGGACCGATTTTATGGATAAAAAAATTCCCTTAAAATAATTCGTTATAAGTTAATAACTAAAAAGTGAATGTGGCCAATTATAGACTCCAGACAAAAATATTCAGACAGGCAACAGACAGCAGCGTCAAAGGTGCGAGACATCTGGTGTTGTGATCGTCAATACGGCTGCTAAGCATGACAATTTCTCCCTGCAAGGAAAGAGCAGTGACGGATTCACACATTTGCCGCCAGTAGGCTATTAAAATGTTGCCGCATCTAGCGACTTCCACAATTCCGCTATTTCTTGTGCAATCTTAACTAAATATTTGGGTTGTAAAAATAATCTAGGAAGTGACACATCGATCCCCTAGTATACAATCATATCGACGCTTCACAGATAATAAGGGATAACCGCCAATTTTTGCGAAATCGACTTATATATATATATATTATGGCTATAATTGTCTTTTTTTTCTGCGTCTTTTGGTCTAAGTCTCATGGCTCTATGACATACTTTTTGTCGGTTAGGCAGTACCTATATAAAATGAGGTCCTCAGCCTAATTTCTTTATCGTAAACGGCACATATTTTGGTGATTTTTTAATTTTGACGGTTAACTGAAAAATGGTATTTTGAAACTGAGAATTACGTTATTAAGGCTTTTTTAAAAAAATTTTTGATTGGACGTTAACCGGTTTGGGCTAGAAATAATTTATGTATAAAGATACGTTTATTACATTTTGCTTGGACGTTTTATTTTTTAAAACTACGTTTACGACATTATGTCAGTTTGTTTGAAAAATATTATTGTGGTTTAAGATATTTAAGCCAATATTTCCTTGACTTCGTTTGTCGTTTGCAGTTATTATTCCTGTTGCTGTAGCCATTAACGGAGGAGCTTAATACAAATTGTCCTAAAACTCACAAAACTTAAATTGTCGTTTATTACTTTTTTACCTCCCAATATTCGAACGAGTGTGGTGGTAAAATACTATACTTACACTTATTCAATGTCGCGGCATTTGTCGTTTACCTAGTGCAACAAAATCTAAAAAGTTGCTTATTTCTTTCATTTGTTCGAAACAAAGGAGGTTACGGTCACACAGTGAACATTTACTGATCAGTCGACTACGGCACAAACGCCACGCACGCACATGAGTCATTTTGGCACGCAGTTTCGAGCCTATTTCGACTATCCAGGTAAGCTATATTTTCTTAATGCTATATGCGTAGGTAACTATTAACTCCCTATGTCATGAATAACGTTAGTGTATGTATACATTTTTTTGATGTTTATACTTGTCATAACTTTACACATCGATTATTAGTAAAAGATAAATAGTGTCATAGCAGTAGTTTGGTAGCCACTTATGGTGAGGTGTCTGTACAACTTGACAATGATTTATTATTAATATTTCAGGATACCATTATGGCTCAAAACCAACGTGCATCTGACATTATCCACAATTCCAACATAAGCTTCCGCACTCAAAGAAAACTTAATTTTCATAACCCAGAACCACCAGCTGATGAGGTAAGAATGATTGTAACTGGCCACTATCATGAGAAATAAGAGGTATCTTCTGTGTTACTACTACATATTAATAATTATTTATATAAAACCGTTTTTTTTAAATTTCTTTCTAGGAAATTAATCTATAGAGTAAAAAAATTCACCATGCTCTGCTCCTAGTGAAACAGTCTACACAGGACTGAATGTACACCAAGAGAATTCAATTTGTTAACATCAAGATATTGCTAAAAAGGTATTGTTAGTAAATGAAAATAAAGAAGCAGAGCCCCCACCTCCAGTTATAACCGAAATGAAAAATGTAGAGCCAAATGATTACGTTTTCGATAAGAAAAATGATAGCTATACTTTGTTCAACAACGACAAAGTTACTTGTCCAGAGCAGTCTGGTAGTCAATTAAGAACCGAGGATGAAGACACACCAGCACAAACAACATATACTGCAGAAATTGAGATAACGTCATTACTTAAAACTCCGATTTATTGTGACGTGATAGAACTTTTGCCTTCTCCCATCTATAGTGCAGTATTGCAGTCACAACTTATGTCACAATTAAAACAAAAATGTTAACCCATCAAGCTTAAAGAACAAACGTAATGCAAAACAACACAAAAAAAAAACTTTAATTAGTTACCAGATGATGAAGATTTTACAGCAAATTTTGGAGATATTATTGCTTGCGGTACGTACACCTTCTTCAGATTCGTCTGACTCTAATGAGAAAATAAATAATGCTAGTTAAAAAAAAACGAATGAAGTCCAACAAAAGTAAAGAAAACATAAAAGAGCCAATGGATCAAATCGAACTTAATGTATTCGAAGAAAATGCAATGAAAAGGCAGCAAAAGAATAAAAAGAGAAAGAACGAAGTATTCTAAAACAATCTGGTCAAGCATACACTACGCAAGATGGGACTGAAAAATACCTGCTACATGTATTAAACCCAACCCATGCAAAGAAAAAAAATATGGCAATTATTGTGATTCTATCAAAAATGAGAAAGAAAAAATATTTTTGACTATTTTTGAAGTCTATCATCGACACGATCCAAAGATTGGCTGGTATTTATGATACAGAAAACAGCTATAAAAAGAAAGAGAAACAAATAATCTGAGAAACGATCCTACACTTACAAATATTTTGTAACCGAAGATGAGGGAAGAGGTAGAGTTCGTCTTCAATTTTGAACAGCTACTTTGGATGATGGTTTAAAATTAATTTAATATTCCTTACAATAGCGTTTTGTATAAATTTATATAGTGGATTATATATTGGACGATGGTTGCTGAAATGAGCCCAAAGTTGATTTTTTCTTTTTTGTAATGTCTTATATTATTATGTTCTTAAGTACGAGGATGATCAACCTTAATCTCTTAGCTTATAATGATTGAATGTTTATATAGTTTAATTGTTAAATTTACCAGGTTGTAGCAATGTTTCAATTTCTTTAGGTAAACTTTTATATTTTACTTTAAGTAGTTTGAATAAATGTGATTAAAAGAGCTGACAATTTGTGTTATTATAATTCCAAATAAAGACAGATTTACCTATTTTTTTAATCCGACGTCTCCGAGATGACCTTTTTAGTGTTATTCAAACTATGAAACACAGAACGTTAGTTTTTAGTTTTCGTAAATGCTCAATATTTCTTAAAAAAATTGTTAACTTATTACAATTTTCTTGTTCATCTGTCATTAACTAATAACCGGTTATATCATATTGCCCCCTTTTGATGTACGAAAAAAAATACAGTTATGTTATTTTTCTTCAATTTAAATAAAATGAAAGGTGCAGCTAAGTGATTGAGGCTGGAAGCGAATTAATTAGTGATTTCCATTTATGACCTCTTTCCTGTTTGTAAAAATAGGACCTTTTGGGGATAACCGACAGTAAACAGTATTAGAAGGCTGATTCAAACAAAACTATAGAAGAATTTCTATGAATTTTTTTCGTTTATTCTGAACTTTAAACCACTCTCCTGTAAAGTTTGTAAAATGTCGCTTATCCTTTTTTGGCTGTGAAGCATCGATATTCATTACAATTTCTTTGTCACTGAAACTGTGAGTTTATGTTTTGTGCACTATTGTCCTACACCAACTTTTTGCCGTAATTAGTATGATTGTGAAGGAGGGGATCCAAGATCTATGTTTCAGTTCCTAGATTATTTTAAAACCCAAATATTTTATTAAGATTCCACAAAAACTAGTTTCTGTGTATATTTCTCAGCTAATAAAATCCCAATCATGTATTACTAATAAGGTATGATTTAATACTACTTACCTACATTCGGTAAACGTAATGCTGCGGCTACACTAACGAGCAACTTCAATGCCCATAAACGCAACAATTATTACCTTAAATTTAACGCGATAAAATGAGCGGCTACACTTGAACGGTCAACGTCGTTTCCCGTTGAACGGCATTAAATTTGCCGTTGAACGGCGTTAAATTTGCCGTTGAACGGCGTAAAATGTTTCGACCGGAGAAGGACCACGCTCTCACAGCATACCAGCGTAAAATAGTAGCTTAATGCTGCTGTGTTTCTATAATATAAAAAATAAACAAATATAATATATAGTTAATAGTTTATAAAATAAAAAAATAAACAAAGAAAAAAAAATACAAAGAAAAAGAAGATGGTGGATGCTAAAAATGCACAGGAGCACTGTAAATTTATTTATGTTTTTTTTCCCGCACCCAAATTGCACTAGAAAGATGTCCAATGGTTTAAGCTAAATAATAAGACAAACGTAAATATATTTTAATGAAATAATAACTAATAAGCCAATCATAAATACTGGTCAAGTGCGAATTAGATACACGTACCCAGGGTTTCGTATTATATCTATGGTTACGTACCACTGTACACTATTAATTTTGACCTGCAAAAATTGTTTCTTTTTTCTCCTGCTTAGTTTTCTTGGTTTCATACCGTAAATTAAAGTATACTTTTGAAGTAATTTTTTTTAATTCAATCTCGAAAAGCTTTTTCATTACTCCACTCCATCGCAGTCATACGTGCAACCCCGTGGCACCATAGATAAATAAATATGTAGCAAGCTACGTGGCACTCACCGTGCACAATGAGACAAACGTAGTGTGGCCGCTTCAACGCGATAATTCGCGCGTTAATCCCTTGATGTACCGCCACTCGAGTTATCGGCAAACGGGAAACGGCATTGTTAATGCCGTTGTTAAATTATCGCGATAATTCGTGGCCACACCTAGATTCAACGTCCATCAACGCGATAATTAACGGCATTTCTCCTTAGTGTGGCCGGGCCATAAGTAAATATTTTTTATTGCGATTACAGTTTAAAAACGATTTATTTAATTATGATGATGATAAAATTCAATAAGTTAAGTTATGAATCTTTGCAACTATATTTTGTACGATTTTTTATTAGCAAAATCATAAATTTATATCGTCGTATGAAATCTTATTCATTATCTGACTCTGCACGAAAACGCTAAGGCATTTAGAATTTTTTGGCTTATGGTAGATTTTAGATAACTTTTCACCCGTTTTAAGCAAGAAAAGCTTCTCTCACCCGAACAATTTGTCTCTGATTTACATAAAGCCATGCGAACTGCTGTGTTAAAGTTTGGATAAATGTTTTGCTAATTCTGTTTTCGCAGAAACGAAGATAGACTTTTCAATTATTCGGAATCAGGTTTCAATATAAATCTTTCAGAAGTAAGGTGAAATTGAAAATGCATGCATTCTTAAATTAATCAGTCGCTTTTTCCGTAGTTCGTTGATGATATTTACTCATTTAGCTCAAAAACGATAACTTTCATTTAATCTGTAGAAGAGCTCCTGCGGTTTTTCCAATTACGATACGAGTTTATCAACGAGGAAGAGAAATATGATACCTAACCATGAAAATATCACTCATCGTCTCATTTCTTCATCGGGTGTTTGAATTTGTTTTTCCTTTTCGGTTGTCTTTTTCTCCGTGTCTTTTGTATGCTGTTTCAACACGCTTAATACCATCGCCATTTCTTCGAAATAGTTAAAATTTTCTCGTTCATATATGAGAAATTTGCAAAGAGATTTCTAAAGTTCGAATCTACGATAGAAACCTGAATTTGAACATTCACTTTAAGGCTTCGGTCTAGCTTTGCTATTTTACATTCCCAGCCATTAGAGGTGGCGCTCTCCCCCTTGCATAATACGTTCGAGATCACAGGTGAAGGTTGTTCTACTTCATTAAATATATAACTTATTAATTTTTGTTCCAAAAATATTCCTTAGGTAGTATAATTTTTCCCTTTTTATATTTCATAAATGTCGGTTTTAGTAATATTTATACGGGTTGTAGGTTTAAAAAGGGTATATATAACAAAAGGAAAATAAAAACTGCCTCTTCATACAAATTTCGACTCTACCTTGTACATTTTGTATGAAGAATCAGTAAATTTTTTCTATTTTTGTATTAAATGTTCAGCTCTATGATTCCAGCTCCTTCCTTCATATCGGATGTATATTATTTTTTTTATACAATCTGTACATACAAATAACGTTTGTACCTGTTTTAAAAAAAGAGAAATCGTATAGAGAAGTAATTTAGAAGGCAGTTGTAAAAAAAATCAAACAAAAAATAACTGAATAAACATATACATAGATACTTATTTCTTTAGTTTGTTATATCATTAAGTAAGGACTTTTTTCGAGTGGTGTGGGTCTTTTATCGGCATAGAACGTTCAAGGCGCGAATAAATTAATTCTGGTAGCACACAACTGTGATAAAACTTTGTCAAACGGGGTAGCATTGTTGTTTCCCAAAACTCTTCACTGATCACTTCAACTCTTGCGTTACATTTCTTTTTACTGACACAAAGATATTTATTCTTTTTTCTATCCATCTTTTTCCGTTTATTACTTTTGGTAATAAATTGAAATTCACCAAATATAAAAGTCCAAGATAATTAAACTAATACACTAATACTAATATAAACTCTAATACACTAACACAATAAAAACTACAGCTAATATGACAATTAAATAAAAATAATAAATATTTAGGTAGAGCAACTCTCACGATATGCTCCGCTCAGTCCATATGAGCTGCGCGAGGGAAAGAGATCAACCATGCGAGCGAGAGAGTAACGTTGAGCAACACTACACACGTCTGAACACCGAGAAATCCCAGCACTTTTTTTTGCGCTCGAAGCAAATATGGGCAACCTCCGGAAAACGGGGGGAGGGAGGTGGGGAATGCTCATAGCATACCACGCAGCCGGCTGTGTTATGTGTATTATGTGGAGACTTTTACCCACTAAACCCCACCTTTATGGATTGGCTTACCGATCTGACGAGAGATCCCTAAGCCGTACACGGACGCGACCCTCCTTGGCAGAAAGGAGGAATCCCAGCACACAGAGTACTTTTTTATATAGGGAATCCCAGCGGAACTAAGAGAATTTTCTTATTATATATAGGTAAAAAGTATGAAAATATACATTTTTTAATTTTACTTAGTTCTAATTCACTTGTAAATAGTTCTATTATATGTGGTTTTAAGTAAAAATGTGCTAAATTTATACTTCTAATAGAAAAAATAGAT